CCGCGGCATCTCCGTCTTAAGGGACCAGGCAGTAGGTGATGTGAAAGACCATTGCCTAGGGAGCTGCTGCCAGTCTGAGTAGACAATACGGACCTTGATGGACTGAGAGGTCTGATTCCGTATAAGGCAGCTTCGCGTGTTAACGTGTATTCTGCTCAGTATTTAGAGACTGTGAATATGGCACCGGGATGAAATCACGGGAATGACAATTTCATTGGATCCTGAATGCCTTTTCTTACATCACTGGCCAACTTACATTGAAACGCACCAACATAAGCAGATTCTGGACATTATGATTTTTGCTGCCCGTACCACAATTGCCACCTGCTGGAAAGACACCAAGCCTCCAACCGTAATGTTATGGTACCAGAAGCTCTGGGACCATTTTCTAATGGACTCTGTTACTAGCAAAATAAACAATTCAGCTTTGAAACCAATACAAAGACCTATAAAGGAAAAGTGGACTCCCATACTTGATTTTTTGACCTCACAGGAATATTTACCTACTTCCTGGCAATACTTACAGAAGTGGATGTGATTGCTCTTACACTGTAACTACTACTGCTTGTGCTTCGCTTTACAGAGTTCTCATCAGTACTAAACAATACCTGTTCAAAGTACATAATATAGAAGATATCAAGAGATAGTACGCTGTACAAAACTGTTATGGATACTGATTATATTGGTTTGTTATGCGAATGTAAATTTCATATCTTTATAGACATGGCACTATGTATCATTTGCTATACTAGTTATTGGTATTGATTTTGATACCCTATGTTATTTAATTCTTGTTACAATCATTACAATAAAATATAAATAATAAAAAAAAAAGAATGGGGCACCATCGTGATCTTGGCATGGCTCCCATGCATCTCACCTGAGTCCGAACGGTAGCATTTGCTGTGGATAGAATCCTAGAATTGCAGAGTTGGAAGGGGCCATACAGGCCATCTAGTCCAACCCCCCTGCTCAATGCAGGATCAGAGCATCCCCGACAAGTGTATAGAATCACAGAATTGTTGTGTCCGTATTCTTTCCATGTTCCATGTTGTGTCCTTATTCTTTCCATGTTTTTGTGTCATACTTGGTATTCAAAAGGGTCACTAACGGAGCTTCCTGTCTTGTGGGAACTCACATGTGGCCCCACCCTCCTGCCTGTCCATCCACTTTCTGCCACATTCCGCCTATCACAGGTTTTTTCAGCATTGGGGGTGCTTTTGTGCTACTCGGTTGTTCCTTGTCTACAGTCAGCTGCAAGCAGAATGGTTAAATATGGGGTTTAACACAGCAGAGGCGAAGTCAGGGTGATTTCAACAAGCAGCAGTTTATTGCATCTCAACAGGAATGCTTGACATGGGGCCACTGCCCCAACTATATACACCTAAGCCACTCCCTGCCCCCATGTGATTGGTAAGTTCAAATAGCCTCCAGGCTCCAGATTGGCTGGCTGCCCCCAGGGGCCGATCCGCAGGCAGGCTCCGGGATCCTGCCTGCCTTTGTTCTGGGGCTTTAAGCTCCAACTAGGTGGCACGCCCAGACATGCCTCCCCACTCTCCATCTAAGTGGCCTGCCAGACAAGTCCAGGCATGCCTCCTTATGTTAGCTACTAGCACCAGCAGCAGTTAAGCCTGAATGGAAGGTTGCACATGTCCAGACATAACAGAAATGGAAACACAGCACTTAATCTAGAACAGTGGTTCCCAAAGTGGGTGGCGGGATTACCGTCCTAGAGGGTCATTAAGAGGCAAGGGTGTGTGTGTTTATTTTTATTTTATTGTATTAGATTTATATCTTGCCCTCCCCACATAGCAGGCTCAGGGTGGTTCCAGATATACAGATCTGCAAATAATGCAGATTTACAATTAAAACATTTTTATCAGTACAGCATCCAGCACTAGCCAAAGGATCATGAAATAGTGATTGTGAGCTTCACCAGACTGGATGTTAAGAATCACACTAACCCCCCCCCCCCCCAAAAAAAAAAACAATGCAACCATCCTCCATTATTTCCAAAGGACTAAAGTCAAACAATTATTTCCAAAGGACTAAAGACAAATCAGTAGAAACAGAAGGGGGGGTATTTTTGCACCCCAGCAGGACCAGTGCAATGTACAGAGTATCCAGCATAATATTAACAAAGGTTTGCTACTATGCTATTCTTAAATACATTCTATCATCAAGCAGGATAGGGATGAGAAGGTCTTGAGACCAAGAAGTGAAAATAAACGGGGGGACGGACACAGAAAAATTAGGCAGAGACAGAAATGACTGAGAAATGTGTGGAAAAGAGGGAGAGAAAGTAAGAGAGGCAAAAGTTTTTATCTTGTTGCAGCACCCTAACTACTGCTTTGCAAGGTCTGGCTGAGCTGGTTGCAAGGAAAGGGAGAGAGAAAGGCTCAGCTATTGGAGAAAATGATCTGCAGGCTGGCAGTTACTGTAGCAGCCGTCAGTATGATCTGTTAAGGAAGTTTGCTTGAGTCTTGGAGAAAAGGGAAGCTTAGCGGATCCTAGAGCTTTTGGTTGTGCTCAGACTTCCCTGCGCCCCTAGTGGCTGCAGCCAGAACTGCATTTTAAAAATGAAGACATTTGATCAGAGGCAGCAGGACAGCTGCCCCCCCTTTGTACACCACTGGAATACTTTGCTCAGTGATGAACTCAAAGAGATCAGGCATGACATTGCTTATTTATCAGAACTATTTGCAAAGTTCAGTTAAATGACTTTGCAGTTTCAAGGAAATGAGGTCAATCTCATTAAGGCCAAATCTGTCATCTCTACGTTTATTTCGAAGATCACTCTATTCAAACACAACATATGTGGTCATGAGCGATATCAATTTCTGAGCCTGTCTGAAATAGGAGAGAAAGGCGGGGTACAAGATGATGATCTGCAGGGGTCTTTTCATAGAAAAAGAGCTGCATGAGCTCATTAGCATATGGTATGCTAATGAGCTACTAGGCTATTAGCATATGCCATGCCCCCTGACATCACCGGAAGTGATGTCAGAAGGGGAAGCAAAAGGGGGGAGGCATCTTCAAAAGCCTCCCCTTCCCTTCCCCAGCTGGCCTGCGGGGGGGGGGGAGAGAAGGGGTTTAAAGTTTAAAACCCTTCTCACTAGAGTTGGGCCACAGAAGGAGGAAGAAGGAAAGGAAAGAGAGAGTAGAGAGAAGGAAAGAGGGAAAGAAAGAGAAGGAAAGAAGGAAGAAAAGAAGGAAGGAAAGGGGATAAAAAGAGAGTAGGAAAGACAACAGGGCTCTCTGGTCATCCCCTGGCCGCAGCACTTCTGTGTGGGCCCGGGGGACCTGGCAGCAGCACTCTCCTGGCATCCCCCGAGCCGCAGGGCTTCTGCAGAGGGGAGCTAGGGACGGGGCTTGCCGGCGCCGCCATTAGCATGGGCCCCTCGGGTGCTGTGAG